ACGAATATTACTGCTAGACCCACTAACCGAAGAAGACAAAAGAATTTGACTGAGAACTCGTTGATGAGGATGACCAAGACGATCATGCCACACAGATGCTGAGGCTCTAGCCGAAAGAAACGTATTTGGTGACGAACTCGGAATGGGAAGCTTGTAAAGCCCCCCAGAATTATTACCCCGTAGAAAAATTTCTTTGGTGTTGATATCCTTCACAAAAAAAAAAAAAAAAAAAAAAAAAAAAAAAAAAAAAAGATGGGTGAAACTCAAAAAACAGCTTATTATCTTATGCAAATTTTTGAACAAACAACAGAGATGTAAACAAACTAGGAACATGAAGAATATTAGACAATTGAAAAGATCTAGAGGGGGAATTAAAGGTAGCATTACCAATACGACTAATAGGTAATCACATACCATCACCGACACGTAATGTATCATTACCATTGTAGTCCTCCGAGAAGGAGAGAGTATCGATGTCCGGAGTGGCAGGATTAGTGGCACCTGTATCTGGAAGCCTTGTGTGGGAACCTTGAGGATCCGAAGGAGTTTCTTGATATACGACATTAGTCTAACGACCCTTGGCACACCAAAGATGGCATGTGGAAGCAATATGACCTAACACATGACAAAGTTGACACTTGGGTTGCCAGTTGCCGTTGCGTCCTCCACCACGGCAATCGCCGCCACCACCACGCGGCTGGCCGGTTTGGCCGCTGTTCTATCTGGAACCACGGCCACTGTTACCAAGGCCCTTCTGGCCGCCCTTTTACGCCGTGAAAGCGGCTGACGAGCCACCTCCGGGACCACCGCGCGTCATAAATTCCTCTTCACCCAAGAGATCCGCAAGCTCTTGGAGAGTAATAGGCTGGCCGTGTACGTTGTGAGACGATACGAGACCCCTGAACTCTGGTATTAACCCCCTAAGAACGTAAAGGTTTTGTTCTTCGAGTGTCATAGGTCGGTCGACGAGAGCGAGTTCCTTCACCAAAACCCTAGCCTTGCCGTTGTAGTCAGCCACGGACATGTCTCCTTGATCAAGTGTTTGCAATTGTCCGAGTAGATTGAGACCCCGAGAGCGGGAAGACGACGCGAGTGCAACAACCATAGTAGTCCAGATAGCCCAGCTGGTGCGGTGGCCGATGGCGAGAGGCATGACCTCTTCGGAGAAGGACGACATCAACATGGACAATAAGGCTTGGTCCTGCCGGACCCACGCACGATGCGTCGGATTGAGTTGCGCGGTTGCCGTATCATCGCCGTCGCCGGTTAGGGTGGCTAGAGGACATGGATTGGTTCCATCAACAAATCCAGATATGAGCATTAGAGACGGTTCGTTCAGAGGAATTAACAGATCCGTCAGCCATTGGAAAGAAAACCCTAACTTAGCTAATACCATATGAGAGCTAATAGAGTTGTGTATTGAATGTAATAATACAATGTATAGATTACAGATTTACAGGTATATATAAGAAGGAAGCTTTAGATTGACTACTGGATATAAAATCATAATCAAGCTAATAAAACTAACTTGAAAACTGTTTTCAAAAAAACTAACTTGAAAATAAAATAGCTTATAGTACTCATCTAGTAAAATTAAACAATTAAAAATTGGAAATACATAAAGTATATAACCCCTTAAAAAAACTATAGAAAAGGGTCAAATAAGTCCTCGAACTTTAGTTTAAAAGTTAATTAGGCCTTTAAACTTTTTAAATGTGCAATTACACTCAGCAACAATTCATTTAAGTGTAATGAAGTCCAAAAACAAATTAATGACCTGCTATCACATGTCATTATGGTTCAGGCTACCTTCCGGCAAATTTTCCGACAAAAAAAAAAAGTGACCGGCGAAATTTTTGGCAAATCTTGATCGGTTGTTAGTCACATTTTTTTTATTAGAAAATTCGCCGGAAGGTGGTCTGAACCCTAATTACCTGTGATAGGAGGTCATTTAACTTGTTGTTGGGCTTCATTACAGCTAAATGAATTGTTGATGGGTGGAATTAGAATAGTTATGCTGTGCATCCGTATGCACCATGCATGGTGCATACGGATGCAAAAACGACGTCGTTTTATTAAAAACGCGCGTCTCCCCTTAAAAAAAAAATCAGGTTCGATTCCCAGCATCAACATTTTGTTATTCATTCATTCTGGAATTATAGTTCATCGATTATGGAATTATAGTTCATCGATTATGGAATTATCGTTCATAGATTCTGGAATTTTAGTTCATAGATTCTGGAATTTTTAGTTCATAGATTAGATTATGAAATTATAGTTCATCGATCATGGAATTATAGTTCATCGATTCTGGAATTTTAGTTCATATGTTGTTTCTGGGAATCGAACCTAATTTTTTTTTGTTTAAGGGGAGACGTGCGTTTTTAATAAAACGACGTCGTTTTTGCATCCGTATGCACCATGCATACGGATGGTGCATACGGATGCACAACATAATTTGCCGTGGAATTACACCTTTAAAAAGTTTAGAAGTTTAATTAACTTTTAAGCTAAAGTTCAAAAGCCTATTTGACTACTTTCCCCAAAAACAATGATTCACGCGAATCAAGTGTATGTAGATATATAGTCCGTGTTCATCATACAGTGGACGAATGAACTGCAAAAGCAAAGCAGCTCATCTCAGCTGTACCCAATTTTTCCCTCCGATTCATTAATGTTATTCGTTCTGTATGCAACTTTACGCAACCCCCGTTCTTCTTCTTCTTCTTCACCGTAGCTTTCTTGTTCCATCCTATTCTCTACCACCATCAATAATTGGATGTGAACCTACCCTCAATTTTCTCTCTCTCAGAACCTAACTCAGGATGTTCCTATCTTGAGCTATAACATATCGTTTCCTTTCGGATCGGGGAAAAAGCAGGAATTTTGTGACTCCCGGCTCTGAATTCCTGAGAAATACTAGTTCGGGTTTTGCTTTACTTGGAATTTTGATGATAGATTTGGTTCTGGAGAAAGGAGGAAGCTTGTGAGATGGGTAACGTCGGAAGCAGTGGAGTGAACGGGCGGCGAAGAAGCAATAGCAGTCGGAGGAGGCACCCGCCGCCGCCTCCACCGCCACCGCCTCAGCCGCAGCCGCAGCCTGAGATCAGCGCCAACCAGTACGTGTTTGCTGCTGCGACGCCTTACCCTTCCCAATACCCCAACCCTAACGCGCCGCCGTATTACCAGTACCCGCCCTACTATCAGCCGCCGCCGCCTCCTTCTCGGCCGTTACCCTTTGATCACCAACACCGCTTGGACCCGTCCCATGCGGATTGGATTAGCGGGCGGTACCCGTGCCGGCCCATGATTCCCCAGCCCGCACCATACGTCGAGCACCAAAAGGCGGTGACTATACGGAACGATGTTAATCTCAAGAAGGAGACGCTGAGGCTCGAGCCCGACAACGATAATCCAGGAAAGTCCCTTGTGGCTTTCACTTTCGACGCCACAGTTGCAGGAAGGTATACAATTATACATACATACACCTTCATTACAAATCACCTCTTCTGAAGCTTCATTCTTTTTCAAAGTGTTTATCTTATTAGTGAATTCCTGGTCTGAGGGTTTATCTTGCTTTGCTTTAATGTCATTATTGTGTTTTAAAGAGTACAAATTTATTAATTTATTCATGTAGCATGACAAAAGGGTACGGTTGACAGTGTGTGGAGAGTTAAATCATGGTGACTCTAACTCTAACTAATCAACACACTAGACTTTTGCTCAGTCTCATTTTGAGAGGTTGCTCTTACACTCTCATGGGTGAGACTCGATCCTTGGTTACTTGTAACAAATTTCATCTTTGTGACCAGTTGAGCTGCCCATGTAGGCTTGTAACACCTTTCCTTATTCATTAGTCTGCATACTTCATGAAGCCAGATTTTTAATGTTGTTGGGAAGCAGTTATAGTGTTGTATCTACTATCTACATAAAAAGTCCTGAAAGTAATCTCCAAGGTTGCTGCACCAATATGGCCACAGATGCTTATTTTGCATCTTACCTGAAACTGAACAATGCTTTGGTTTTGGTGATAGGATGGAAATGGTAAAATTTGCTTTTGTCAGATTGTGTTGAATAGTGTCATCAAGTTGCTGAGCCTCTTATTATTTAAAATAGTTTTTCCTTCATTCTAAATTTTCTACAAGATTTAATACCGGTTGGGGTCCTCCAAGTATAGTGGGTGGCCATGCTTAGTCCTAAACTTTCAAGTTAACCTCCCGTGGTCCTTCAATTTTCAAGTTAACCATCTATAGTCCTTCAACTTTCAAATTTTAACCAACTATAGTCCTTTTAGAAAGACTGTTAAAATTTTAAAGTTGAACGACCACGGGTGGTTAGATTGAAAGTTTAGGACTAAACGTGACAAAACCACTATATTTGGAGAACCCCAGATGACATTAACTCTTTTCTACAAGTATACAGTGTTATTATCATTTGCCAATCAATTAGTTATTTACAGACTGTGGGGTCTTTGTTTACGTGTGTGCAGCATGACAGTGATATTCTTTGCAAAAGAAGGTGAAGACTGTTGCTTGACTCCTATGAAGGAAAGTGTGCTCCCTCCTGTGACAGTTCATTTCCAAAAAGGTTTAGCTCAGAAGTTCAGACAGCCCCCTGGGACCGGCATTGACCTTTCAGCGTTTGAGGAAGCAGAGTTGTCTGAGGGTGAGACGGATGTGTATCCCCTGGCCATTAAGGCAGAGGCATCCTCCGTAGATACCCAAAATGAATCAGTTGATGGAAACGCTGGGTCTGGGTCCATGAATTCCCAGATAACACAAGCGGTGTTTGAAAAGGAGAAAGGGAAATATCACATTAGGGTGGTTAAGCAAATTTTATGGGTCAATGGTATGAGGTATGAACTGCAGGAGATATATGGGATTGGAAATTCAATCGAAGGTGAAGTTGATGGAAACGATCCTGGGAAGGACTGCGTCATATGCCTTTCTGAACCTCGAGACACTACTGTCCTTCCCTGTCGGCACATGGTATGTCTTCTGAATCTTTTAATCTGCTCTACACTGAAGTTTATAATGGCTGATTCTGCACCAAATTGGTGTCTTTCTCTTTAGTAAACTGAACTACTGAGTACACCGCATATACTAGACTGTTCCTTTTCTTGATGCAGTGTATGTGTAGTGGTTGTGCAAAACTTTTGAGGTACCAAACAAATCGGTGTCCTATTTGCAGACAACCGGTTGAGCGTCTCTTGGAGATCAAGGTCAATAATGATGATGCCGAGGAATGAAAAGAGGAATAGCTTCCGCTATCTATTATCCTCATATTCTTCTCTCTCTCTCTCTCTCTCTCTCTCTCTCTCTCTTTCTTTTTGTTGTGATTTTTTCTTCTTCCTTTTCTGTCTTGCTCTGCCTTGCATCATCCTATAGATTAAATTATTAAAAGGATGACAGACACCTTGAGGATTTGCAATTGGGTTGTGGATTTAATGAAATTTGTGTTGATTGTATCAGCATTTCTGTAACTTGATGATGCCCTGTTCTGTTTCTTGCATTTTGCCTTGCAAGCGAGTTTCCAGTTCCATCTCAATCTGCAAATCCTTTCATCATCTCTTTTAAAGCTTTATCCAATTATAGTTGGTGTGGGCACAAATGATATATTGACTTTTAAGTAAAATAAATTGACTTTTATTTGCATCACTATTAGTAATGGAAAATGTTTTTTTTACCCGAGTTAATTACTATTTTGGTACCTCAATTGTTTCTCAACTGTCAATGTAGTCTTTAGTTTTTAATTTCAACCAATTTGACTATCAAATTGTTTAAAATTTTGTCAATTGAACATTTTTAAGGATCAAACTAGTGATTTTTACATTTTAAAATTTTGTCACTTTAGTTGTTGAAAAAGTTTAATTGACAAAATTTTAAACAATTTGAGAATCAAATTTATTGAAATTGCTAACTAAATATTACATTGACAATTGAGAAAAATTGAATGATCAAAATGTTAGGGATCGTTTACTTCATTTTTCTGTTTTTCCATTTTCAGTTTTTCATTTCTTCACTTTTCCAGTTTTCTTTCTCCATTCCTCAAGTTTTTCATTTCTTCATTCCTCCCTTTTTCATTTCTCTAAATAATATGATCTTCTTAAAAATAATTTTATAATTTGTTTCATCACATAAAAAAGTTCAATACAGTAATACTAAATATAAATTTTAATACACTAACACTAAATAATTTTATAATTTGTTTCATCACATTAAAATTATTTCAATCATTTTAGTACATTGTTTGATTCCACAACAAAATATGTAAAACCTCGTTAAATACAATCATCCCATATAGCATTTGTACAAAAAAAAAAAAAAAAAATAATAATAATAATAATAATAATGATAATAATAATATGTGGGCATGTTAATAATAATCAGGGTTGTAAAAATCCCATCTAGGCACCGAGTAATCGGCGCTAGGCGACCCTAGGCAGTGGCGATTTCCCCCCTAAGCGAAAACCGGCCGCCTAGGCGTCCACCCAGTGTCTAATTCGACCGATTACGCCGAGTTAACTCGTCAATTTCTGTCGAGTTAGCTGAGTTAACCCGACCGACTCGACCTTGCTAATTTTTATTTATTTATAAATAAATAAATAAATAAATAAATAAATAAATAAATATATATATATATATATATATATATATATATATATATATATATATGTGTGTGTGTGTGTGTGTGTGTGTGTGTGTGTGTGTGTGTGTGTGTGTGTGTGTGTGTGTGTGTGTGTGTGTGTGTGTGCGTGCGCGCGCGCGCGTGTGTGTGTGTGTATAATATGACATATATGCACCTATACACGTGGACTGTTTTTCTTTTTTTCAGTTAGCCGCCTAGGCTGTCTAGGCACTAGGTGCTACTCTACCGCCCGACTAGCGCCTATTTCAACCATGATAATAATAATAATAATAATAATAATAATAATAATAATAATAATAATTACAAATCATAATAATAACAATAACAATAACAAATCTGTGCTTATAATAATAATAATAATAATAATAATAATAATAATAATAATAATAATAATAAATGACACTATTCACCCACCTTCTCTCCATTTTTCCATTTAGAAACATTTGAAATTGAGTTCTCCAAATTTGTATACAAAGTTGAAGAATGGAGATGGAATAAAGAAGACATAAATTTAGTAAATAACTTCTCCAATTTTTATTTTTTTCATTCTCAATTTTTCTATTTTTCTGAAAAATCCTCCATTTTCCAAGTTAGTAAACGATCCCTTAATTTCTCATTTTTTTTCCCTCACATTTTTCACTGTCTAAGACTTCCCTCCAACCAGGGAATTAGGGATGCTTAATGCAATTGTGGGAAAAATAGCATTACTCCTTAGTAATAACCCGCATTTTCATGGTTTGCATAAGGCCTAGACCGTTCCATTAATTTTGATGGGATGTCTCAACCTTCTATTATTTTTTACCCATGCAATACACTGAAAATGACTTGTGAAATACATGTTATATTGTGTTAATAAAATATTATAAAAATTATATAAAAAGAATATAATATTACTGAGGGTCCTTGTTTTTATTTTGTTACAGATCAATAAAATGATAAAACCAACCATGTGTGTTTATGTATGTATGTATGTATGTATGTGTGTATGTGTGTAAAAGAGAGAAAAAAAGCCTAACAATTATTTATTGCATAACGCAACCCATCTATCCTAGGCCCACGTATAAAAAGGAAAAAAAAATCCCTAATTCAGACAATCAGGCATACCACTATTTATGCCAAGTACCTTGTGCTCAGATGTTATGTAGTGACTCTCCCATATGGGAGGTCATGAGATCGAGTTTCAATGGAGGTGGTGATGTAGTGTTATCTCTTTGTGCTTCAACAGGTTGAAAACGTATAGATGAACAGATACCTCCCTCCTACGTCCCAAGCTCTCATCTCTCTCTATCCCTTCTAGAACCAACAACATGAAAAAAACTCATATTTTGCCTCCATTTTCGATCAAATCTCCCCAAAAAAACACCATTTTATCAAATATCTTACTTGTCTTCCAAAATATCTTCTCTACCTTCGTTCGTTGGTCGAGAGTTGAGAACGAAGTCACTGAAATGTACGACCCATAAGCTGGAATGATGGAAATGGTTAGACCAACAGCCCACAACACTGGTTTAAAGAGAAAAGAGCATATCGGATTTGAATAAACCACCTTCATACCCAAACCTTGTTCGGTAATTTTAATGCTTCTTTTACTCTTTATTTTTAGTTTAAATAGAGTTTATTTCATTTGTATAAGTTTTCCCGAATTTGTTGTATTTATTTTTGTAATATACGAAATTACATATCAGGAAAAAAAACAACGAAATTTAGTGTATTTATATTTTTTGTTCTTTGTATTTTTTATTTTATTTTTTTATTTCAAATTTACATTTTGATTTTATATTTTAAGGCTTCAAAAGATGTATTAGTGAAGCAGTGAAACTGATGCACTTTTCATTTTTAACAACAAATCCCCACCCTACAAAAGACCCACATCACAAACTAAATTTTACTTTCACAATAAACATATCACATAGTTCAATAATAAAACATACTCTAATACTTTGATTGTAATTTAAATATAAAAAGTTCTTAGAATGTGGTCATTTTATAACCTTCTCTTGTTCTCACATGATGAACCAACTTTTATGTTCTTATGCACTTATGTGTCATACTTTGCAATAGTTCATTTAGAAGAAAATTAATCACGTTTTTTCCAAGTAAATAGAAATCAACTTGTGTTTAGATTCTCATCCTTTGAATTATTCTCACTCTATATTTCATTGCTTGGTTTGCTAATTGTTCTCAAATAATATCTTTTTCTGGTTTTACTCATACTACTTTTTCCCTAGGAATCTAGGATAATGAGGTAGGGGTACATAAAAGCACTATAGATGGAAATTTGGTTCCCCCTAGTGCGCTTATTAAATTTGTGCAAGGATAAAATATTGCCTTCTGTGGAAAGCCTTCAAACCAACTACAATGTTCATGCTCATTGAAAAGTGAAAACTCTAAAGGTCTTAGTATCTAAAGAAATGCTATATTGTTGTCTCTTTCCAAGAATATGCTTATTGCATCGTCATTTACTTACAATTTGATCCTTCTGCAGGAAGTAAGTCAAAAGTAGTTGTAGATTTGAAGCTCTTGAATAAGCTAAGGTATGCTCAGAACTATACCTTTATTTGCATCTATATGCATATGTGAACACACCCATGGATATTTCTCATTTAGCTGTACTTCGAATAAAATTTTTTGAGACATGTATATATTTACACAAATTAACACTAATTACACACTATTAAAAAATTAGAACAACAATATTAAAAGGGAATATATATTTACGAATAAAAACAAAAAAAAAATACAATATTCATGATTACCTCTTGGATCATGGAATACGCATTCTTTACATTTGATTGTCTTGTTGTCTCTCCTTTATGGTATTTCATATGCGAGGACTCTTATAGCACTTTTGTTTTTTATAGGAGATACATCACTGCCTAGAATGTATAAAGGGGTGAAGCTTTGGAGCTATACTGTATTTGTAAAAAATAAATACTGGATACAGTGTTTGTACTTCAAATGAACTGCTAGGTTAGTTTACAATTAGAAGAGGTGTTTATAGAATAGGTAATTAATGCAAATCTTGTGGATACCAAAGAGTCCCAATAAACTTGATAAATATACAACACTCGGATAGCCAAAGGGACATGATGTTTAATAAAAACATTTTGTCTTCCAAAGATTACATGACTGTTGAACAGACCCCTTTTAAATTCAGCCATCTACAATAAATCTCATAATTGACGCATGCATCCCAAAAGTCAGGTTCCAGAACGACGCCGTATTGTGTGGGCGGGAATTGGAGCTAAAATCGTGTGGCAAAAACATTTGGTTGAAGGACTCACAGATGGTTGACAAATGGACGGCACGAGCAGCCTTCATTATTGGCCACACACGTGTCCCCCCACTACTTTGCTTCTAGTGCACTCCCAAGTATAAGTGGAGTTTCGTACTCTTTAATATACAAGATCTTGAGTGGTTTTGTGGTTTGGAACTTGTGTTGTTATGCTTGAGGTTGTGAGTTTGATACTTCTTAGTAACAAAACTTATCATACTTTGCTTCAAGCTTCTTTCTTCCCCCTCTTGGGCCAAAGATGTTCCCAATAAAATGGGCCCCCGGGGTTCCATGTTGCAATAAAATGGGCCCCCGGTCTGTTGGTCCTGATAGGGTGGTAGAAAGTCTAGAGGGGGGGGGGGGGGTGAATTGACTTTCTAAACTTTTTCACAATTAATAACACTTTGGTAATTTCAACTCCAAGTAACAAATAAATAATCAAGTATTTAATTTGGAGTGCACATCGGAATAAATATGTGTAAAGTGTTATGCCCAAATAGTAAATTAGATCACATGCACTACGTTAGATAAGCTTAGATGATGTGTAAGAGTAACTAGAATGTCTTGAATATTTAAAGGAGATGTGTAACACCCCGTGTTACGGCCTTTAATCCCGAATTAATTATTTAATTAATCCCGTTAATAATAATTAAAAATAATTTAATTTGGTTAGGATTCCCTTTAATTAATTAATATGGTCCACCATGGACCATGGACCCTTATCCTTAAACCAAGCCCTTAGTCCTATAAGGAATAGAATTAGTAAACCCATACCATTCAGACACTATTTAGGACACCTAGATATATATATAAGGACATAGGAGGCACCTAGAAGTCGCACAACAATAGATATCACCACACAAGAATTCCCAAGGGACTCCCCACCACCAAGCCTAGGGAGATCAAACGGATGGAAATTTTAGGGAAGAACTTTAATAGCCAAGGAAAGATTAATTAAGGCTAAGAGGTAACCCATGTCTCAACAAAACCTATTTTCCTTGTTATAATCTCCTTCTTTGGCTCCTTCTATATGCTTGTGTCTTGAAGAATTCCTTTATGATAATTGTGATATAATCTTGATGATTGATGGGATGATTTTATGTGTGATCTTGATGATCTTGATGTTGATAAGAGGTTCTTGATATTTATGTGATGATTCTTGATAAATCTTGATGTTTCTTGATGTTAAAGATAAAATATGACTTTGATGATTTGGATGGGATTAGAGCCCTAGGTTGGATTGGGAATTTGTATTGTGATGTTCTTGATATATATTTGGGCGGGAATTCGCATGTTCGGGTGTTGTTTATGTTTAGAAGTCATGATAGGATGTGTTCTATGTGATTCTTGCTTTTGATCCATTAATTGCCTACGTGGTGTCGTTATTTACGTTTAAAAGTGTCTAAGCATGGTTTCGGGTTCCACAAGGGATCCCGGGACGCGTTATTGATGAAAGAGTCAGTGGGGGGTAGGGGAACCCCCCACCTACCCGCTGCCCGGAAAGTCATCACCGGCGGGTAGCCGGTGGGTGACTCCCACCCACCGGCTACCCGCTGGTCTGTTACCCACCCCGGGTCCTCGGCTTCCCCGTTTGATGTTCCCTACTCCCTGTGGTGTCCCAACGGACCCTGTTTGTCGTGCTTGAGTTTAGTTTGATGTTTCGGGTACCATTCGTAGGGTAAAAGAGTCTTAGGAATTGCATGCTAGTTGAATCGGTAACCCGTTGACCTTAGGTGGAAGTTGTATGAACCCCTTAGAACTATTCTTAGTATGTGAATGATCACACGTAGGCTTATTTATACGTCTCCCCCTTCCCAATGTGCTATTATGTACTACAATGTGTTATGTGGGGCATGATTCCCCAATTTGGTTGCGATCGAATTGGTTGTTCCTGAGCTGCGGTTCAGAAGTTGGCTGCGGTCAAATTGGTTGTTCCTGAGCTACGGTTCAGAAGTTGGCTGCGGTCAAATTGGTTATTCATGAGCTGCGGTTCATTTTCCTGGCTGCGGTCAGTGACTCACTTCTTGGGCTACAGCCCACATGGGCCTCGTGTGCAGATGGTCCACCGACTGGACGCGCCAGCGGTGTGTAGGGCCACCAGCCTGAGGAAGTCTATAGCCCACCGAATGAGTGATCAACGGTGTGTAGGGCTATGGTCGGCTACGATCCATCGAGTGAAGGGCTAGCGGTGTGTAGGGTCGCAGTCTTCGAGGACCATAGCCCACTGACTGAGATCCTTAGCTGTGTGTAGGGCTTGATTCGCAACGATCCACCGACTGTGCTCGTCAACGGTGTGTAGGGTCGTAGTCCCCAAGAGAAGATCACGATCCACCGACTGAGCGCGTCAGCGGTGTGTAGGGCTGTGATCCGCCGTCGAACTATTGGCGGTTTGTATGGTTGGTTGCGATCAACCCCTTCATGCTGCAGTATGAGGTAGGGTGCTGCAGGGCTGTGTTAGTGCTATATGCACTAACCCTCATGTTCGGGGCATGCGATTGGTCCCGTGGCACCATCAAGGTGTGCTTGTGTGACTTGAATGGTGATTGAATGATGATGTGAATGATTTGAAAGTGAACTGTGGCCTTAGATACATGTTCTTTATGATATTGTCTCTATATAACTGTTTATCATTGATTAATGTGCTTATCCCTACCTGTCGAGTCTATTCCTGGTTTTAAAGCTAGAGTCTCCTAAGTATATATCTTCCTGCTTCAAAATGGTTTTCCTATATATATATATATATATATATATATATATATATATATATATATATATATATATATATATATATATATATATATATATATATATATATATATATATATATATATATATATATACCTATATTGTATTTCAACGCGTTGGAGTGGGTTACTAGCATCATTCGCTGAACATATATATTTGGCTTTCAGGCACAGATGATTAGCTACCGGAGAGCGCTAGAGGACCTCGGCTTAGATAGAATAGTCTTTCCTTTCGGCCTGCGTGCCTTGATGATGTAATGACAATGTTTGAGGATAGATAGTTAGAATAGCCTGTGCATCTGAGTTCTCCAGCTCAGTTGTGGCATAACACCCCAAACCCTTATGATTAGTAATGCTCTGTTTGAGATTTAATGAGAAATTACCTTTATTATATAAGTTTTAAAAGTTTCAAAAATCTGGGGTGTTACAAGATGGTTCACTCAATATTTAACAAGATTATTCAAGATTGTGTATAAGACTTCGTACGAAATCAATAGTGTGATAAATTTCACATGCAACATGTCAAGATTACTTAGAGTAACTTAAATGTTAAACATGGAAAGATTGAGTTGCATGCACACGTGAAAACACACTAAACCCGAGTGATTAAGATCAAGCAGTGAATAGTAATCGGGTTAGTCAAATACTATGTAAGTAAAGCGAATTAAGTAAGTGCATTAAGTAAATGAGAGAGAGAATTTATAGTGGTTTAGAAGTGGGGTAATCTTCCTAGACCACTTTACTCCTTTTGCGTCTAGGAGTAATTAACTATTTTCCACACAAAGTTACACTAGTGAATAAGTTCTACACAAGCACTTCTTCGGATGTCTTGCACACAGCTACACCCAACTCCGAGTGTCTTGCACACAACTACACTCAACTCCGAATACTTCGCACACAGCTATACTCAGACGCCAACTAAGTGTCTTGCACAGAGCTACACTTAGCAACAACGAGTCTTTTGCACACAGCTACACTCACTAGATTATATTGCACACAGCTATACACTTTTTACGATTACAAATATGAAGGTAATTGTATCTCTCCAACTACTTTTGAGACTATTTAGACTAAGTCTCTCTTCTAGATATTTTAATGAATATTTAGCATTTGTATACTTTGCACTTGTATATTTCTCTTTGCAAGTTGTTTGTCCGTCAAACTCTCTATTCATCTTCAAGTCTTCATTGCCTTTTTATAGATGATCAACTATATCCGTTGGAGCGGGATAATTTGATATTTGAAATTTGAATCTGGTGGCCTGATATTGTTGACACTAAGTTCTTCAATTTTGATTTGATTGCCAACTTGTCTGACAAGATAATATTTTTATCTCAACTTGATTTTCAAGTTGTTTATAAAATATTATTATATTCGTCATTTTTGAATTTCCGACGTCTCTTGGCAATAAATCCTTCTGACATGATTTATTTATAGGATAAGGTCTTATCCATGCCTCCATAAATTTTCCACCGTTCTGATCATGTCTTCAGACAATTTGGATTCTTGTGACATGTGAGATCAACCAAAATAAATTCATTCGAATTTATTCAGTGTTCTGATCATCTTTGTTTGTTTGTCACATTTTGCTTGTGCACATCTTGCTCATTCGAAAAACACGTTGTGCTTGTTTTGCATTCTTGTCTCGCTTGTTTAATTTAGACCATCTTGCTTGCTTGACCTTGACACATCTTGCTTCTTGACTTATACATCTTGCTTCTTTGAGTCGATGCGTTCCTTCAGATTTAGCTTCAAAAAGATAAGTCTTTAGGGGGATTCAATTTTAGGTATGATCGTTGTGTGCAAAGACTTCTATTATTTCACCGTAAGGCTCACCCGGTCATTTATTATAACACCTTTGTTTAATACTTGTCTTCTGGATAAATACTCGTAACACCAAAATTAATTCACCAAATTAATTTTGTTCTTCATGTAGTAATCTTTCCTTTGCTTCTTTTGGCTAGACTATCTGAATTATGATTCTTGTACTAACACTACAAAAAATTAATCGTTTAGCAACAGAATATTAGCAGCGGTTTGTTATAACCGCCGCTAAACACCTATTTAGCGGCGGTTATATAACCGTCGCTAAAAATAAGTGGCTAACTTCATTTGTGATGTATATATCATGCTAAATAAGTGTTAGTCTATCCTTCTCCCCTCTATGCAAATCCCTAAATTCTCTCATTTCTCCTTCTCTCTGTCATTCTCTTCGCGGTTTGAGACATAGCGATTGTAGCAGAGTTCACCGACAATTTCTTCGCACTCAGCCCAATCGCCGGATTCGTCGGATTTGTCGTTGGTCTTCGTACAACAGGTCACAGTCATCGCGTTTTCACCGCTCCGGCATCCATCGTTGTCATCGTCAAAGGTCGCAGTTGTGCCCTCAGCTCCGATCCGTCGTCATTGTTTGCAGGTCTAAGGTAATTAAGTGCTATATTATTCATATTTGATATTTTATTTACAATTATTTGAGTTTGGGCATTGTCATGTTTGTATTCTCTCTCTACATCATTTACTAGTTCGTTGACTCAGTTCAATCAATATGAACAGGAAATTCTTAAGAAAGTATCTGGATTAACCAAAAAATCTGTTCAAAGGACACAAAAATCTGCAAAATCAGAAGAGGAGATGATGAAATCTGAGGCCATTGTTCAATCGGTCTCGAGCAGTTCTTAGCAGGTAACATAAATTCAGGTAATTTTACTTAGGTTGTTATCCTGAATAAGTATTGGTCTTTTGGATTTTAAATGGGGGAATGCTACATTTTTAGTTGTTTGCGCCTTTTGGTATACTGTTCTAGTAGTTTAGTGAAAATTTCTTGTCTAGGGGATTTAGTTATATGTTTAATTACCTTGAGGATCTAGAATAAGGATAATAGGCCACAAGGCACATCTAATTCATTTATTTGGACTAGTGTCTCTACAATGTATAATTAGAAAGAGAAAATTCAAAATTCCCTTTAGGAATAGCAGTGAACATATAATAAATGGATTAATTTTCTTAGTTTCCTTAAGCTAGTTGAAATGTCATCTCTTTGGCAGGGAAGTAAGAGAATTCTTCCTGCAAAGCCTTCCGTAAACATTGAAGCTAGTCCTTTGGAACTTGACACAAAAGAGTCAGATGCTAATCCAAATTCTTCTTTGGCTACTGCAGAGGTTTGGTCTTCAAGCCTTGTATAATAATGATAATGAAATAATACTATATTAGTATAGGCTTTTATTCTTGAGATTGATTAGCAATAGGTTCTCTTTATTGGGTTCTAGATGCTTATGAATGAGAGGAAAAACAGAGGCTGCTCTTTGGCTTAAGAATTGGAGTGGGGGCCCTGGAGTTTTCAATAAAACAAATTTAGGTGAGTAGAGATTTGAATTATTATATGCTTTATTTTTTAACTGTTCTCATTTGAATTTTTTGTATCCAAAAGTTGTAGTTTGAATACAGATTGCATATCCTGCATGTTTGCTTGTACAACAATTGCTATAATAGATTATATTGGATTGCATGATTGATAGTCTGTATATAGACATCCCTTTACAGATTTATGCACTGAAATAAAATGGCTTTGGGAATATACATGAAAGATGGATAGTGCTGATTAGCCTGATTTGTAGCTGATTCAGCGGTCGCGAAAAGAACTTTACGTGGCAAAGTTTCAGAATTTCAACGAGCATTGCTACAGAGTAGATGTAAGTTTGTTAACTGTAATGAGCTTGTGATCGTTCTAAACCTCCGAAGGAAGTAAGTGTTTCTTAATTTGCATTGATTCTTTAAACTGATTGTTTTCTAGTATTTGTAGTAATTGTAGGCTGCACTTGGAGAGACACATAAATATGCTGTTCAAAAGTCCTTGTCTGCATTTAATGCTACAGTTGTTGGGGCTGGACCAATCAGGCAAAAATACGAGAAACGCCTTCTAAGTTTTGTTTAAAAGGCATTTGAGGTAGTCTTATCTTGCATTCTTTCCTCTTAAGTCTCAACAAGAATTTATTTTTTGATAAATACACTCTTACCAGTCCCTTGGTGATAGTATGAGATCATGCTAATTTCATTTTGGCATGTAATACATACAAGCGTTTCAACATTGTATGAACTGATATAGATTGCAAAAAATAATGACTGGTAAAAATAATTGAACCATTTCTAAACTGTAATGTAGTGTTTGAATATGAGACATACCTACTTTGCCAATTATGAGTTAAAAGTTATTTTAAAACCTGTTTAAGGATAAAATTGGGTTCATAACATGTCAATGTGTTATCTTTCTATCAAACTGTAAATTGATAAACTATAAACTTATCTTTGCTTGTCAAGTTGCTAACTTGTATTGATAAGGTTATTAATTTTTCAAATGCAGAAATGGGCTGTTGATTTGAATCAGTATGCATGTGAAAGCTTGAGGTTAAATCATTTTTTTTTCTTGAAGAGTTGTTGAATTATCAGTCAGCTAAAAATATTATGTCTGGTCATGTGAAAGTGGCATTCGATGTGTGTTATATTGTATTTGAAATGCCATAGATCGGATCAAATTGAATTCAAGTTGTTGGTTTTAGTTTTGTTAATAAGTGAAGTAGTTTCTGTTAAAATTCATGTTGGGAAAGGATTTGGATTTATGCAATTTGCTATTAGGTGTTGTGTCTTACCACTTTCAGAAAAGGTGTTGGATTTGTGAATTTGCTATGAAGCAATCAACAATCTTCACAAGGGAGTGGAAAGCAAAATTCATCCTCTAGTCATCATGTTAATGGACAATCTTCTACATGATATGCAACTGTAAGTAGTTTCATTTTTTATTTTAATTGGTAGCTGGATTTCTAATGGTGTGTCTAAACTGAGTATGCTGAAATTTTGTATTGGCAGAATATAAAGATTTTTGAAGAAATATAATTAAATGATAATTATAAAAATATAATAATGTAAAGAAATCTATCACCCTTCCGGTCTCTAGAGCCACATACACAGAAACACAGAGATGAGGGATTTGTATGCTATGGATTTTGATGGGGTTCTCTGTGACAGCTACAGAGAAAGCTCTCTATCTGTTGTTAAGGTTATATAAAAGTAGCTATTTTGTCATTCTCTTTCTCATCCGGTGATGCCCTTTTGTTAGGAAAGCTTATGCTTTTATTTAATTCACTTTGATTTTTTTTTTTTTACTATGGCTGCTTAAATGTAGGTTGCTAAAGTGAGATGGCTCAGTCTTTTCAAGACTGTGGATTCTGCATTGGAAGATTGGATTGTTGATCAGATGTACACTGTAAGTTAGTTTTTACCTATCATTATGAAGAACCTAAAATTAATTATTATGTTTTGCATTCCAGGAAGATGAAAGAATCTAAATTTGTAGCACCAAGTTAATGTTGAAGCTAGGAAGTCCTTCACATTCTTAATCTATCCTAAAGCTCATTGTTAAGGTTCTGCAGTTTCTGGGCAATGTAGGACTGTAGATTGGTCATCAGTTGGATTTACATTTCCTTAGGTAATTTCTGTGTTAAGTTGTCAAGGGTCTACCATATAAGTAGTTTATCCCATTTAATTGAAAACTTAATTTGTTTTTGTCTGAACTTTATAGTTTATACATAATTGAACTTGAAATTTCTTTCAGGTCAGGCCAGTGGTAGAAACCGGCTATGAAAATTTATTGCTAGTGAGGCTGCTTTTGGAAATGAGACTTTCTTCCATTCGCAAGTCTTCAGTCGGTATAGACACAAACTATGAAAATAAGTAGTTCTTATTAGGACTCTATTATTCATATTAGACTAAGACTATATTATTCGTGTTAGACTAGGATTCTATCTAGCATCTCTATATATTCGCTACCTGTACTCTTAGACATTATTATTGAATACAACACAATTATATTCTCATCTGGTATCAGTTAGCTAGGGTTTTCTTTTCCAATATCCATGTTCCTCACTTCATAGCAGTAGTCGATGGCATCGAACTAAGATACACCGTATGAGAAGCGGTCCGGTCAATGACGTGACATTGATGATCCATGTCAAATTTGTAAAGGTTTCGGCCACACGGGAGCCAATTGTTTTTGGCGTTATGATGATTCGTGTCAAATTTGTAACCGTTTTGGTCACATGGGAGCCAACTGTTTTCGGCGTTATTCACCAATTGTTTCTGGTGGTGATCCGACTATTGTGGTGGCTCGTGACCTTCCTGCCGCGCCCATAGCCGCTTCTGACCACCACCGCCAGCAGCCTGCTATCGCCGAGCCCGTGACCGAGTCCGAGCGGACAGTCACGGACCAGCCGACACCTCGGCCAAGAGGCCGGCCTCGTGGTCGGTCTTGTCCCGCGCCCTCACCCGTTCGCTCTCATGGAATGAATACGAGAAGTTCGGGACCACATGATCATGTTACTTTATCTGCTGCTGCTGTTACTCCTGAGCCTACATGTTTTACTTAAGCGGTTAAATTTCCTGAATGGCGGGATGCAATGGATTTGGAATTTAATGCCTTGGTGCACAATAATACATGGAGGCTTGTTCCCTTTAAATCAGGTATGAATGTCGTTGGACGTAAGTGGGTGTTTAGAACCAAGAGAAAGGCTGATGGTTCGATTGAGCATTACAAGGCTCGGTTATTTGCCAAGGGATTCAATCAGATTTCTGGTGAGGATTTCTTTGAGACCTTTAGTCCCGTTGTTAAACCGAGTATGATGCGTCTTCTCTTATCCCTAGATATTTCTCGTGGATGGACTATTCGACAGCTAGACATACACAATACTTTCCTAAACGGAAATCTCGCTGAGATAGTTTATATGCGCCAGCCCTTGGCTATGAAGACAAAACGATGCCCGGCCACGTTTGTCTCCTTCAACACAATTATATTTTCATCGTTCTTTCTTATTATTATTAAAAACTTCTTGCTTTTATACCGAAAGAAATCTTAATAGCAACTGCCTCTTTTGCAGGTTTTATCCTGGAGTCGCTGATGCCCTGAAGTTTGCAAGCTCAAAGGTGTACATTGTGACCACAAAACAGGTTTGTTTAAACTTGAAAGAAAATTTAAGTCCAAGATTGTCGTACACAATGGATGTGGACATTTGAAATCTTATATTTGTGATCTTTCCATAATAGACGAATAGATTTGGGCTTGACAAATTTCCTGTCTTAATATAACTATTACATCTTACCTTCAAGTTTTCTTTCATCATATTTCTACATTTCCAATTCAGACCCGCTTTGCAGACGCATTTTTCGGGAGCTTGTTGGAGGTAACAAGGGTCTGTATGATTTTTTCATCATAAGTATCTATGGTATTGGTACATGGTGAGTTTAGTCCAAAAACATTTTGCCATTCCTATTGGGTACAATAAATTTATTAGCATTGGTTTTGGTTAAATATAGCCTCTTAATAATTGCTCTATATGATCTTTTCATCAGACTGGAAGCAAAAGTGCGAAAACAGCTTCAAGAAATGCCAGAACACCAGGGAAGGTGATAGGGACAAATTTAGATCTCAAGTGAACCTTATGTTATTTTGACTATTGGACAAATTTAATGTTGTTGTTTGTTTTTCTCTGAAGCTTCTACAGTTCTACTATATAAAGATTCTTTGTTTTTGTTACAATTATTTGACAAATATTAGTTATAATTGATTTTCTTTTCAATAAATGTGTACATTGAGTTTATTTGTGATTTCAATATAAAGATTTTTGAAGAAATATAATTAAATTAAATGATAATTATAAAAAATATAATAATGCAACTATAAAATATTTAATGAGAAAACAAAAAATACAAAAAATTATTAAGCGACAATTAATGATCGCCACTAAAATTTTTAAAATTGAATATCGAAAAAAATATTGCAGACACTTTTTAAAAGAAATAAATAAAAAATCTTATTTAAAATAAATTTTAAAAAAAGAATAAATAAAAAGTTTTATTTAGTACCAGGGCTATGTGGTCTAATGGTATCCGGGTTGGACTTCCATTTGGAAGGTTGTAAGTTCGAGCCTCAGTGGAGGCGTTATTAGCTCTCTGTGTTTCAGTAGGTTGAGAAAGTATATGAACAGATACTACAATGTAATAGAGCTAGTAGCATTCAAAAAAAAAAAAAGTTTTATTTAGTGGCGGTTACAAAACCGCCGCTAGAAGGTAGAAGCGAAATAAAAGTAACTCATTTTAGCGGCGGTTACCGCCGCTAAAAAGAAAAGAAAATTAATACATTTTAGCGGCGGTTACAAAACTGCCGCTAAATGCATAAAAACCGCCGTTAAATAAATTTTTCATAAATTCCCGCGGTTGTCGAAAACCGCTACTAAATGCTTCGCGACAGACTATTTAGCCGCGGTTGAATAACCGCCTCTAAACACAATAGTGGCGGTTTGGAACCGTCGCTAAACATAAAAAAAAAAAAACGCAGCTAAATGCATAATTTGGTGTAGTGTAAAGTCCTAAATTCTAAGGGGATCTAAAGTACGTTTGGCTCATCAAAACCTTATTACAAAAATATTCCTATAAATTTTCCACATTTTTGATGACGCCAAAACCTATACTCAGTCATTTGGCTTAGTCATTAAAATAATTGAATTTTCAAAAAGATTTTATTAATATTAGACATAGCCATGATGAGTTTAACATTTGATTTTGACTCTAGGAAATGTATTTTTAGCAAGGATTTCCTATTCGCATTTTTGGATTTTTAAAGTCATTTTTTGCAAATTCTTCCAATTTATGCGACTTAATACAAGCTAAGCTAAAACTTACCTTTTAAGACAAATTAAAACAACAATAAACAGAGTACCATAAGCATCATAATTAGCTAATAAGCAACAAGATATTCAGGGCCATACTTAGAGTTTGTGAGCCATACAAAAATATTGTGTCACCAATTACACAAATTACTTAATCATCTTGTTGTTTTTTTTCCCTTAAGTATGCGATTGATATGATTCTGAATATCAATGAAATTGTTTCCAATGGCATATTCATCGCATACCTGCCCAGTTATATAGAAATTGAAAGCTTCTGTGATGTTGTTTCCGGGCACTGCTCCTTCATACCAAGTGATGCATTCTTCCAGATTTCTTTCTCCATGTAGATCTGCTCCATTCACCTTGATATAGTCTAGGAGTACCATCATCATTAAGGCTTTAACATATCCTTTGATACGCCTGAAATTCTCTTCAAAGATCCACATGTTTTGATCACATTGATTGCATTCTTCTTGCCTTTTGGTAAGTAATTTTGATTCACCATTCTTGGTACTTCAATTCTACCATCACGTGGTGTAGATTCCAAGTAGAGAGCTACCTTGTTAAATGAATTTATGTATTCTTGATTTCCACCTACACAAATAAAATCACGAAAGGATCTACTAGAGGTATTTGCACTGCTTGAACCTCCTGGACTGCTTTCCTCTCCTCCGAACCAGTACTCCAGTCCTCCTTTCCTTGCTATGTTGGTTCTGTCAGCTCTGCCTCTACTACTGCTACCACCACCACTCTTGGATGCCATGACAGTCATGATAGCTTCCATCATTCCTTCCAAATGACTGAATCTCTCTTCCCCCCCTTTTGGCGTAATCAACTAACTCATGAACAGATTCACGAAGGGAAGATACAAATTGTGCAATGATGTTATAAGAACCACGAAGACACCCTACTTTTGTGTTGAGGGAATCAACATCTGTGTGACTATCCCGGATTTGGTTCTCATGTTGATGAACCACCTTCGGAATGCTTTGGCTTTGATTCACGGAAACCACTTCACTGGCTTTTCTGTCTTGATTGGGGGCTTGAGAAAGTTGTAGGAAAAATTCATTGAGCAAGCCTTTGATATTGGAGTTCAGGCCACCAACATGTCTTTCCAATGATTGGTGTGTATCAATGAGATATTGTTGACTCTTCTGATTTTCCACAAATGAGCCTTCAATTTTTCCAGTTTGAGCATTGACAATGTGATCCACATGAGTGTATATCCCTTGGATCAAACCTTCCATTCTATCCACTAGACCAAAAACAATGATTTCCAGTCTTTTTAAGTTGTTAGTCGAGACAGTTTCACCATTCTTTTGTTTGTCTTCTTGATTTGCTAATTGAGGTCTTGCTCCTTCATGAGCTGAGTTCTCACCAAGCAACTGAGATTGTGCTTGATTTCCTTGCACTTCTCTTGCTCCTTCGAGGGTATGATCTTCCAGCACAAGTGTGTCACCTTGACCACTTTCATGATGGTGTGATTGTGCTTCTTCACTGTGGTGACTACCGTGCATGGCTTGATTCTCAATCAAGTCATTGCTCACCTTAGTTAGGTTCAACACACTTAGGTCATACAGATCAGCATCAAGAAAGGTTAGACTCACCACATTGTTTCCTTGATCAGTAAATTGACCAAAAAATTGAGATTGTGAGACACTCCCGAGATCATTATTTGTGATATATCGAGACAATTCAATAGCTTGGTCAATGTCATCATCATCTAAAGAATCATCACATGTGGGCAGATCTTCTTGCACTGTACTAACTGGAACATTCTCGGCCAGATTTGCTTTTAGTTTGGCTAGGAATGCAGCATTAATACTAGAGAGCCTGATAGCTTGAGCAACAACTTGGCAGCCAATCCAATTTAAAGAAAACATTTCCTCATTTTCCATATTAGGCCCACGCGACATCATTTCTTGATATGAATCAAGTCTCCAATGTGTCCAATTCAACACTCTTGAATATTCACTGACTAGAACTGAGTCTAACCCATCAAATTGGCAAATTATCTTACTGTGGATTTCTTCCAAGGATTCTACCCAAGAGGTTGGATTCATGTAGTTGTGGATATTATTTTGGTTGGAATTTTGGTTATGGCCGGAGGTGTGAGTTTGGCTTTGATTAGGGTTGTGACTTGAGGTGTGAGTTTAGCTTGGAGGATCATTGGCTTGGGGAATGGGTTGGGAGTTTTCATTGATAATATCTTGCACTAGTCTTTTTTTGGATGGTGGCACTCTAGGTTTCCTTTTTCTTTTGGAGGTGTTAGACTCATTTTCTACCTCATAATCCTTGTAAAGAACTAGGTTGTTTCCAAATGGTTTCCTTACTCTCATGGGTAACCCTTTTTGCTTCAACACTTCATCAATTAGCAAACCAAAACCTAGGACTCTACTGAACTTCCCATTCTTCATTTTTGCACCCTTAACAAAATGGCAGATTCGGCTAAGTACCAACTTACTCCAGTTTGCCTAACTTCAGTCATAATGACATGCAAATAACCAATCATTTTCGGTGATATATCTTCCATACTATTCAACTCGCACAGAATACATTTATATATCACATTGATTAGCATTTGGTATTCTGGCTTCAAATTAGATTTATTTCTAGAAAGATTAAGTTCAACCGATGCTTCTTCACTTTGAATTTCTACCCAAATCTCGGTACGGTCATACACATGCATTTCTAAGTCTAACATAGGGTGTTCTGGATTAGACATGGGCAATCCAAAGGTTGAATGTAACTCATTTTCACCAATGGAAGTGGGAATTCCACCAACAGTGGACTCAATGGTCCAACCATTTACTTTGGCATTGACATAAAATTCAGATACATCCTCATCAAAATACCAGAGTAGGAGTAGGAACATAACCTCATTAGTCCGCTACTTTGGATTGCATGGATGATTTTCTGAGCAAGCTCTGTGTTCTTGGTAGTTTTGAGAAATCCATTTGGGTCGAAGTTTCCTCCTACTTTGACACTTGTGGCTAGTTTGGTGAGATCAATCGGCGTGGGTTGTTCTTCATTGAGTTGTGAACTTGATTCTTCGATTGTTGTCATAATGCAACCAAGTTTTTGATGAAGATTTAGAAGAGTAAAGCTTGTATAGTTCTCGGCTATGGAAGATGAAGGGCTTTGAAAATTTTTGGAATTGATTTTAGGTTCTAAGTGGAGAAGATGACTTCTCTTTGGCCGGTTGAGTGGAGGGGGGTTTTACAAAAAAGTCCTTGAGTTTTGCTTTTAGACTTTAATAGCTTAGGGGTATTTTCGAGATTCCACCCTTTGACCTGTAAAAAAATACATAGAGCCACAAAACAAAAGTAATAATATTATCAATAGAAGTAACCGAAAAAAAAAAACATTTTAAAGGGAGGTGTTATTATAGTAAATGCTCACAACTACCATAACAAGTTGATCTTATTTAAACTAATATGCAATCATCACAACCATCTTGTCAACCTTAATGGAGTGGATTTTGTATGTAGGGGAAAATCTAAAGAAAATATACATATTCTTGGTCAAAGAGATATGTATTATGCACACTAGACAATTTAATTTAAAGTCTATTTAAGACAAGTTGTCCTAGACACTAGGAAGTGACAACTTGGTGCATGTTTGACACATAGGCAAAACAAAATCGAGAACTTAGCTTATATTAAATTAGATAACAAATTCTGATGATTAATTAATTTAACACAGATGAAAATTGAACTTTTAATTAAATAGAGTTTAGAAACATAGCTCAATTCGATCATGCCCATTTCATGTCTCAATTTTGCAAATCTTGATTCACACAGGGGCTTTGTGAGAATGTTGGCTGTTTGATTTTCCATTGGAATATATTCTATTCTCAAATCCTTCTTTTCAATGTGATCCCGGATAAAATGATGTCGCACATCAATGTGCTTAGTCCTTGAATGTAGTACAGGATTTTGAGTAGTTGCAATAGCACTTGTATTATCACATTATATGCTAACATCTTCGCAATTTACACCGTAATCTTTTAATTGTTGCTTCATCCAAAGAATTTGCGCGCAACAACTTCCAGTTGCTATATATTCAGCTTCGGCAGTGCTTGTAGCTATGGAGTTTTGCTTTTTGCTAAACCAAGATACCAATCTTCCCCCTAAGAACTGACATGTCCCTGAGGTACTTTTTTGGTCTATTTTACACCCTATAAAATCTGCATCTGAAAAACCAGTCAGTGTAAAATTACCTTCTTTGGGATACCATAATCCCACATTGATTGTTCCTTTTAGGTATCGAATGATTTTCTTGGTGGCAAGAAAATGACTTTCTTTTGGCTTTGATTGGAACCTAACACATACACCAACTGAGTAGGATATATCTGGTCGACTTGCAGTGAGATATAGTAAAGATCCAATCATTCCTCGATATTTCGTTTCGTCAACGTTCTTGCCTTCGTCATCTTTATCCAGTCTTAAAGACGTACTCATTGGGATCTTGATTGAGGATTTTCCGTCTTGACCGAATTTCTTTATAAGATCTTTTGTGTATTTGGCCAGATTGATGAATATTCCATCGTTGAGTTGCTTTACTTGTAGTCCAAGAAAGTAGTTTAACTCTCCCATCATGCTCATTTCAAACCAATTATGCATGAAATTTCTCACATAAAACTTTATTAGTACTTCCAAAAATAATATCATCAATATAGATTTGTACCAATAAAATATGATCATTTTCTTGAATTCTAAATAAGGTTTTATCAACAAGGCTTTTTATAAATTCACAATTAATCAAGAACATTAGCCCGTATAATGCTTTCTTTAATTTGTAGACCTTATTAATATCACCTTTTACCTCAAAACCGGGTGGTTGTTCGACGTAGACTTCTTCTTCAAGCAGCCTTTTAAAAATGCACTTTTCACGTCCATTTGATATACCGTGAAATTCTTGTATGCAGCATATGCTAGAAATATTCTGATAGCTTCGAGTCTTGTGACTGGTGCAAATGTTTTGTCGAAATCTATTCCTTCTTCTTGTGAATATCCTTTTGCCACTACTCTTGCTTTATTTCGAACAACAATTCCTTCTTCATTGGCTTTGTTCTGAAAGACCCACTTTGTTCCAATCACATTGTGACCTTTAGGTCTCGGAACTAATTCCCATACATTATTTCTTTTGAATTGATCCAGCTCTTCTTGCATGACATTTATCAAGTCCAGATCATTTAGGGCTTCTTCAATACTTGTAGGTTCCACCTAAGAAAGAAAACACGAAAATAAAGCATCTAATGTTAAGGATCTTGTTTTTACTCCATCTCGTGGATCTCCAATTACTAGCTCCAGATGGAGATTTTTGAGTCATCTCAAGTCAGGTTGTGGATTGCATGGATTTTTCGAGTTTCCTTGCTCAGTAGGTAAGTTGGAGGTAGACTCAATTTGCTCCTTAGAGTGTTCTCCAACTCGTACTTTTGCTTGAGAATTTAGAGTTCCCACGTGTGGTTCTTCATTTACTTGTACATGTTCTTCACTATTGCAATCAATGTCCAATTGCTCTACTCCCTGTGCAACATTATCTTTAAGAGAGATGTTAGTATCATTAAATGATTTTAAAATTGACTACTTCCCTGATTATTATTATTGCTTTGAGTTTTCTTCTCATGGGTCTCATCAAAAGTAACATGAATTGATTCTTCTATCACTATCGTTCTTTTGTTTAAAACTCTGAAAGTTTTACTGGTAGATGAATATCCCAAAAATATTCCTTCACCTGCACGCTCATCAAAACTCTTTAGATACGTTTTACCATTATTAAGAATAAAGCATTTGATACCAAAAGTATGAAAATAGTTGAGCTGTTGATTGCTTCGGAGTTTTGATACCAAAAGTATGAACCGAGTTTCCTTTGTTGTAAGACTTGTGTATCAAGCTTCAATTTGCGCATAGCATGCGATGTTGATTGCTTCGGCCCAATATCTCTTGGGTAATTCGGCTGACGTAATCATCACTCGTGCGGCTTCTTTTAATGTTTTATTTCTTCTTTTGGCTACACCATTTTGTTGTGGTGTTCGTGCTACAAATACTTGATGCCAAATTCCTTGAGAATTGCAATAGGCTTGAATAACTTGGTTCACGAACTCGGTTCCACGATCAGTTTGAATTTTTGCAACTTTCATGTCTTTCTCATTTTGTAGTAGCTTTAGAAGTTTCGGTAGCTTTTGTTCCACTTCATTCTTCTTTGTGAGAAATATTGTCCATGTGCACCTGGAAAAATCATCAACAACAACGACTGTATATTTCTTACCAACTTAGACTTACCGGGTCTACTGGACTAAATAGATCCATGTGTAGTAGACTTAGCGGTCTTGTTGTAGATGCTTGTGTCTTGGATTTGAAAGATGATTTGATTTATTTTCCTCTTTTGAAAGCATCACATATTTGATCTTTCTTGTAGGCAATATCGGGTAGATCTTCAACGAGTTTATTTCTTGCGGGCTTATTGATGGTCTTGAAATTCAGATGATTTAATCTTTTGTGTCATTCCCAACTTGTTGCAGTTGAATTTGTTGCCATCAAGCATATTGATTCCTTGGTTGTACTCTAGTCAACTACGTACATATTTTTCTTCCTTATTCCTTTGAGCACAATTTCTCCCGTGGAATCATTTTTCACTTGCCATTTTCCCTTGAAGAATTCTACTAAATATCCTTTGTCACAAAATTGACTTGTACTTAACAAGTTAAATTTTAGACCTTCAACAAAGGATACATCTTCAATTTTTAGACCGTTGCGGGATATTGTACTAACACCTTTGGTTAAGCGCATTTCCACCGAACACGACTTTTGGTCCTTCGATATTTTTAGAATTCACGAGACTAGATTTATTTCCAGGCATGTGTCTAGAGCATCCACTATCGAAGTACCAAATTTCCTGCAAATAAATTACACATTTTTAGGTACCCAACATGATTTGGGTCCTTGGGTGTTAGTTGTAACACCCCGTGTTACGGCCTTCAAATCCCGGATTAATTATTTAATTAATCCCGTTAATAATAATTAAATATGATTTAATTTGGGTAAGTTTCCCTTTAAAATAATTAGTAAGGTCCACCATGAATCGTGGACCCTTGCCTAAACTAGAGTTTTAAGCCTATTAGGAATAAAGAAAGTAAACCTTTTACTAGTCAAATTCTAATTAGAAATCCTAGACCTAGTTATCTATTAGGAATAAAGGAAGTAGGCCTTTTACTATTCAGATTATGATTAGGATTCTCTTTAATTAATTAATATGGTCCACTATGGACCATGGACC